CACACCCACGGCCTTCGCCCACGTTTCCCACTTGCTCCGATGAGAAGGACTGTCTCTACCACGCCCCAGCTGTGAGATGTCACATTCGTCTCAACTGGGCGAACCATTGCTTCGTTTCTAACAGAGGAGCACAAGAGGATCATCTGTGTGTCTCAAGACGAGGGCACACACACAGAGTGGACAAGGTCCTGCAGATGACACGCTGGGTGTCATCTAGGGACAGAAAAACGGACATGGAGCTGGGAAGGCAGACAGAGGACATTCTGATCTGGCCCACATCGACTGGACTGTCCTGGAAATCACACTAGTAACGCTGTAAAGTGACTTTAAGCAGTGGTGGGATATTAGATGAGACCCAATGAGGTGGAACTAAATTTTAAAATTTAGCTCAATTTCAGAAATACAAGAAGGTAGGTTTTATTGTTTTTGTTTTTGAGACAGGATGCTGCTATATAACTGTAGCTGGCCTCAAACTTGGGGCAGTCCTCCTGCCTCAGCTTCCGAAGTGCTGGGTTTACAGGTGTGTGCTACCATCCCTAACAGGAAGACATTTTTGAGAAGCTGGGTCTAATCAAAGACATACAAAACACAACAAGAAAGACTCTCTCTACCCTGTGTTCCCCAAACACACACCAACCCAGAGGACACCTCCCCGCCTCCCCAAGTTATGACTTTGCTGTGAGGAGTATTTGTCATGCTAAGCTAAATGGAAAACATGTTTTTAAAAACAATCACAGTCCCATGTAGGAACTGAGTCATGCGCCCCAGAGTTCACGACAGACTTGGGAAAACACCGCTCCTCAACTGACAGGAAATTCCCCGCCAGCGAGCCAGAGCACACTGGAGTGACTTAGCCCCCTCCCCTCATATGACAGAGGAGACCCCCTCGGCTCTGACAGCTCCCATCAAGAACTTCTGTCCTGATGCTGCTCAAAATCTCTGAACTTGGGAAAAGAAGATTCCAGAGGTTTGCAGTATCAGACAAGCCAACTGTGACCACAGTTCGCAGGTTCAAATCCCAGTTCTCACCAACCTGTGACCCTTGTCTGTAAATAGGGAGAACCACGGTCTTTGCCGAATCTGATCACTCGAAGGCCTGAGTTAAGACATGGTCTACTCCACGCCTGTGTACTGTGCAGTCTTGTTACAGCTGTTGCTGTGACAGGCATGACCACAGATGGCAGTCTTTGACCCCTCCCCGAAAACTAGTCCATAGAAAACACGCGTTAGGATCAAGTCCAAAGTCTGCTTCGAGGTTCTGTTCTTAGCAAAATTCTGTGGAAAACTCAGGCCACTCCTATGTATTGAGCCCCAGCTGTGAAGAGGGTGCTGTGTCCGCTGATATGGGCTGTCGTGTGCTGGCCATCCTGCCTGTGTCCAGGGGCCTTGACCCCTAGGGACCTGTGCTCAGAAGGAAGCTCCCTGCCAGCCAATGTGCTCGGGAGCTAAATGCCTTAAGTTGGCCTTCATATCAGCTCAACCATATTTCTAAGATCAACTAAAAAGAGAAATAAAATTAACTTGGACTTGTGCATGTGTTGAAACACCAATCACATAGTGCCCCACAAATACGGCCAGTTCCTCACATGTTATTTAAAATCACACAGCGAGTATTAGCCTGTTAGCATTCAGTGGATTGCTAACAGTCTTTTACATGTCATCTCAAGAAATGGTGCCTTTCCTCTCAGCTGAAATTCAAACCTGGGAACCCTGACACTTGAGTAGAATTCCTCCGAATCATCTTAGGAACACAAAGTCCAACTTGGACTTCTCCCTGGGAAATGTGGTCTGGAGAATGGAAAAGAGCCTTAGACGAGACCCGGGGACCTGGCTTCATGCTTGTGTTTTTTTTTTGTTTGTTTGTTTTGGTTTGGTTTGGTTTGGTTTGGTTGTTTTTGGCTTTGAGGGTACTCTTGAACTTCTGGGGTCTCTGTGATCAATCTTTTTCAGGGAAACTAAGCCTGCATTGAAGCCCTTTGTGACTCTATGATCTGAACCTCTCCTCCTTCCTAGCCCTCTGAGAACTTGAGACAGAGAGTGGCAGCCACTTCTTAGCTACAAACAACAGAGTGATTTCTGAATTCCTCCAGCTCCAAGACATGGGAACAGCATGATTCCCTCACAGGCGCAGAAGACGCTACTTAGCTATCTACAAGTTTTCTAGAACCCACCTCTCCTAGGCGAGTGAGCACAGGTTTGGGACAGTGACCTGTGGTGATATATTGTTTGTAATCAAGGAAATAAAGCTTGCCTGAAGATCAGAGAAGCAGAGCAAGCCACAGCCACCACCTCTCACCTCACCAACTCCTCAGCCTGAAAAGAAGAGCCGAGTTCCTGTCTCCTCCCGCCTCATATTCCTCTCTCTGCCCAGCCATATCACTTCCTGTCTCAACCTTCCTAGTGCTGGGATTAAAGGTGTATGCCACCACTGCCTGGCTCTGTTTCTCTTTGAGAATGGATTGATCTTGTGTAGTTCAGCGTGGCCTTGAACTCACAGAAATCCAGATGGATCTCTGCCTCTGCCTCCCGAGCGCTAGGATTAAAGGTGTGTGCCACCACTGCCTGACCTCTATGGCTAACTCTGTGGCTGGCTCTGTCTGCTGATCTTCAGGTAAACTTTATTTGCTAAGAGTACAAACAAAATATCACCACAGTGGCCCTCTCCTACAGTGCCTTGGCTAAGAGCACTCTCCAGTATGTGTATAAGTCCTCTCCACCCTAAAGGTGCACCTCAAAGGCCACCTTTTCCACACACGCCACCCAGATCTTGTCTGGCCAAAGCAAATTCCTTCTGAACGTGAACCAGCAGACGGGGCACATTCCACACCCTGTGTTGATGGAACACACCGGATCGTCTCTCGACTTGATTACCTCCCGATGCTGAGACTTATGCCCTCACCCGTTTCTGAACCGGAAGAGGCCATGGCATCAATCAAGGGCTTGCTGGAACTGCAAACTCTCAGGTCTCACTCACACCTGAAGGGAGCAGGGCTTGGAAATCTGTGGTCTAAGACCCCTGGAACACGTTTTGCGGCACGACTAGAAGCACAATGATGCTCAAATACAGGTTTCCGTGGCCTCAGGTACCGTGCTGGTCACACAGGAGCATCCATTCCCACCTCACACAGGCCCAGGGACTGGATCAGGTTACAGCAACCTGAAAACTCGCTGGACAAAACTCAAGGTCAGCCTGTGCCTGTAGGTCTGTACCTTGTGTGTATGTCGGTCCTTAGGACACGGCAAATTTAGTTTAGCTGAGGTAAAAGGGCTGGTGGGAACAGCATTTCCCCCAGGGCCTTTCTTGTGAAATGAAGAGGCACCTAGTCTGACCTTGCCCACGATTACTGGCTCGTTTTTTTTCTCTCTCACAGAAAAGGGGGCAAGAGGTAGGAAAGCGACTCAAAGCCAGTTACTTCTGCAGTTCTGGCAAAACTGAAAGGCAGTTAGAGGGAACATGGGTTAACACCTCAAGAAGTGTATGCTCTTTCATATGATTTTCAGCACTTGGGAGGCAGAGGTAACAGAATTTTGAGCTCATGGCCAGCCTGGGCTACACCACAATTTCCAGACCAACTATATACAGGAAAAAAAAAAAAAAAGTATTTTGAAAACAAAAAAACCAAAGAAACAACAAAATAGCACGTGTGGGTTGGCTGAGAACTTCATAGCTGATTCCAACCCTCAAGGCCCTCCTATATACTCCTTGAAAGGCTAGGCCTCAAGTAAGGAGGAAGACCTCAGGATTTCCTAACAGGGACAAAAAAATATGTATTGGGCATCTCCTGCCCAAGAAGCCACCGAAACGTCTCAGTCTGTGGTCTCCATCCCCGGAGAAGTCGGGAAGCCTCGTGATTTGTCTGAGGGAAGCTGCTCTCTGTTGCCCGTCCCCTTCCCCAGCTGACTGTATCTGGAAGGTAACGAGACAGAAGCCCCTCTCCCAGACATCTGCTTCTCCCAGGCCTTGCCACTGGCCCACCTCTTGGCCCTGGCTCTGGTGACCCAGTTTTGGTGGTGACAGCGTCTGCTCTCCCCCACCGCCCAGGAGGCTCTGTCAGTCTGAGATGGGGCCACTGCTATCCACTCCTTTCCGTAAGTGGTGCCGGCTGGGCCCGGGGCCCCAGAAAAACAAACCGGAGCTCTGTGCTTTTTGGCAGCCTGACTTGGCCTTTTGTTTTGACAAGGGGTGGGAGGGAGAACTTGAACCCTGTGGTTATCTGCATTTTAAAACATTTAAACACAGCGAGTCCACCTGCTTGGCACTTGGTGTTCCCTAGTCAGTTTCTCAGCTCCACCCTTCTAAAATAGCAACTCTCTACCCTCCTTTGGCTTATAGACACCAGGCTTGGTGGGATCGAGAAGCCCTGTCCTTTCCTGCACTGAACTCCTGTAGATCGGGTGGCCTCAGTCCTGGAAAGGGAAGGGTGAGGGTGAGGAAGAGGTCCTATCTGAAGGACGCACCCATGCTGGCTTTCAAAGACCACTGCACTTCACAGGGAGAGACTTCCCAGCCAGGAGTCTGGTTTCCTTGCCAGATCAAATGCCGGTCCTAGCCGTTTTCCTCCCGTCACTGACTGGGAGGAGAGGGCGAGGAGAGAGAAAGGCCCATCACGGGCAGTAGATCGGGGGCAGGTTTGACAAGCCACTTCAACATCTGATTTCACAGCGAGCACAATGAGGGACCGGAATTGTCTGGGCAAAGAGTCCACAGTTGCTTCTTTTGAGAAACAGCTGTGGGAACCACGGCAGTGTCGGTCACCGGAGACGCCTCTGCCCTCGGGACTCCCATCCTCCCACTCTGTCTGGCAGCCAACACCGTCTCATCTGAGTTCTAAAACGATCAGGGCACAAAGTGTGTTTAGCAGAAGCGCTGTCCCACAACCTTGACCTCCACAGAGGCCGACTGCAGCCCCGGCGGTGGCCCACGGTGCCCAAGAGGGTCCCCACGCCCTCCTCCTCTAGAAAGGAATCACTTCCGTAACCCGGAACCAGATTCTACTCACCAACACTGTCCCCAAGAGAATCAGAAAAGGCTGGCCAGCCCGCCGTTTCCCAAGGAGCAGAGGCGGTAACCGGGACCCTGGGATGCCAAGAACCCCCTGGGCAAGGACTTACACCAGAGTTCATAGTAGTAGTTGCAGCACTGAGACTGTCCACAGCAGTGTCCCGTGTCACAGATGTAGCTCTGGTTGTTGGTACCCACACAGGCTTCTTTATCCTGCAGAACCAAGAAACAACGGAGGAGCGCATTACACCACGGCATGCGCCCACGGCCTTCTCCCCCACCTCCTCCACCTGGACGTCTGTCTGTCTGTCCCCCATACAGCACCGGGGTTTACCCCATTACGGAAACAAGATAAGAAGAACCACCCAACCACAGCAGAGTTTAGAAAAACAAAGGTTTATTTATTAGGGAAGGGTCATGACACAGAGCCACACGGTAAACAGTGAGGCCCCCCTCAGACAGGACGGGGGTGAGGGGTGGGAGGCAAGGGGGGTGCGTACTCTATCTACGTCCAAAGAGAAAGAGTTCGTGTTTAGTGTCAAACTCAGTTGCTAGGAAGGTGACGATCCTCCTGTGACCAACAGTAAATGAAATCACTTTCTGTAAAACTTTCCGGAATATTGAATGCAAACAGGACTCTAGAATTACCATCTAGTCAGTCATTCCAATCTCCCTTCCAACGTCCCTCCCAGACTGCTAACAGTGAGATTCAAAAGATGGTTGGGAAGCAAAACACGGGTTGGGAATGTAGCTCAGCTGGCAGAAGACTTGCCTAGGATGCACGAAACCACGTGTTCAAACCCGTCACACTGTGAACCCCAAGTCTGCATTTACGTTAATTAAATAAAATTAACCTTGGGTCAGAGGCTGCATTAGCAACTAGTTGACAGAAAGTAATCATAGAGCATCAGAGGGCATCTGGAAGAGACAGAGAGATCCCCCAAAGCAGTGGGGGAGAATCTGGAGTGGCATGGCTTTTTTTTTTGTTTGGCGGAGTGGAAGTTTGCTCTCTTTTGAAGATGCCAGCAAGGAGAGAAGGTTAGCTAGTTGCTACTCAGCCTCTCTGAGCTAGCAGGTTTTCACCCCAGCCTTGGAATCTTGAGTCTTATTTATAAATAGAACAATAGAGATTTAGTGGCAGTGACCGAGCCAGTACCTATGGAGCAGAATTCCCACCAGCCTGAGTTGCCGGGTCGCTGCCAGAAGCAGGCCGGTACCTGCAGAGCAGACACTGCTGGCTGAAAAGCAGTAGATTAAGGCGCAGCCGCTGTGCCCAAGTTAAAACAACGTGATGGCGCACAGCTGCCATCCCAGAACTTAGGGGCGGGGTAGGAAGATCAGAAGTTACGATCACCCTGGGCTACACATGGCCCTGCCACAAATGAACACCAAAACAAAACCCTGAATAAACAGATAAGCAAAACCACAAAACCTTCTCCTCTGAGTCTTCCCTCTTGGGAAAAGGTGGCGAACCTAGACGGGGGGCCTAGTCCAATTTCAATTTGCTAGAGCACTTTTACTTACTGAACGATCTCTTGAAAGTCTTGACTTGATCCACGACTCATAATGTCCCTCGTCAGGGCAGCTACATAAAGGGCACTGCTGAGGAACCACGCAGCACTTTGCCAAATTCTGTCCTTAACACCGGTGGAGGAGGATGGGATGAACGTTCTTAAACTATATTTCCCACTAAAGATACAAAATACCAACCAGGCATGGTGGCTACGTGGGTAAGCCTAAAATTCTGGAGGCTGAGGCAGGAGGACTGCATTGAGCTCAAGACCAACCTGGGCTTCACAGTGAGTGGAGTCCAAGCCAGCCTAGGATACAGGGCGAGGATCTGTGGCAAAGAGAGGCAGAGGCTAGAGAAAACTCGCCGGTAATGTGCTTGCTGCGTAAGCATTAGGAACTAAGTTTGGATCCCAGCACCCATATAAAAATGTGGGCATGGTGGTGCACATCTGTAATTCCAGCAACATGGTAGGGGGTGTAAGGGGGAGGAGCAGCTCACAGACAGAGGACCTGATGGAGACGAGAAGATCCCTGCCAACTAGCCAGCCCAGCTGATTCGGTGAACTCACTCCAGGCTCAGTGAGCGCTCATCTCAAAACATGAAGTGGAGGGGCTGGAGGGGTGGATGGCTCAGTGGTTAAGAGCACTGGCTTGTTCTTCTAGGGGATTCAATTCCCAGCATCCACATGGCAGCTCACACCTGTCTGTTAACTCCAGTTCCAGGGTTTCTGAAACCTTCACACAGACATACATGCAGGCAAAACACCAGTGAACAATAAATAAATCATATATTAAAAAAATGAACTGGAGTGCAACTGAGAAAGATACTTAATGTCAGCCTCTGGCCTTCTCATGCACACATGTGCACAGACACACTAACTGGTACACACATATCTCACACACGCGCACACACACACACGTGCGCACACGCACAAACACACACACACAAATGAAATAACATACTAACCAACCTTAACCTCAGCTAATAAACATTTTGAGCAACTTCACACATGTATGATGAAACTTACACACACGTCACCTGCCATATCTGACTTTCAGTGTTTCATTTACTATAATCAGTCTGTGCCAAGCACCATCTTGGGTAAATGGGAGGCACAGATAAAGGAAACATTGTTCCTATCTTTAACGAGCTCAAAGTTACGAAGGAAAACCCTACCCAAGCAAAGAAACTCAACCCAAAGGTTCCATCTGCATCTACTGCCCTGCCCATTGGCGTAAATCCCGGCAGACAGCTGCCAGGGGAAACAAGTCACGTGGTCGGCTCTAGCCTTACCTACACCGGCTTCAAGCATACACAAAGCACCCACGAGCGTCCAGAGGCCAGGCAGCTACAGGAGGGACCTACAGCTACAGAGAGAGACAGGAGAAAGGGCAGAACTGTATACCAGATCCTTCCTCAGTGCACATCTCTACCACACACTCTCGGGGCTGGGTAAACTGAGTCAGTGGGTAAACGTCCAACAAACTCGACAACCTAAGTTTGATCCCCTGAAACCCACAATGGAAGGAGAGTACCAACTCCCGCAGGCCGGCCTCTGACTTCTGAATGTGTGCCGTGACATGTGCATACTCACACACACAGTAACGAAGAATAAAATTAATTCGGAAAAAGAACTCTTACGCCCCGGGATAGACCAGCTCAGGAGACACGCGGAAGGGCAGTAAACGCTGACAGCCAGCGAGTCTCCCAGTGTTGCGAGTTCCTTATTCTCGCGTTCCCGAGCCCAGCGAAAGCAGAGCACTGTCTAGCAGGCGGCTGTCCGATTGGAGGCGCCTTCAGAGGCAGGGTGCATGTGGAGACAGCAGAGCTGTGCTTGCTGCGTGCTCCAGACCCAGCCCCTCGGGCGTCAGAGCAAACCACCCCTTTCCTAAGGACAGCAAGCCTCTCCAAGCTCACCAAGCCCTGCCAGTGCCATTCTTTGGCACACTAGTTTGCAAAAGCAAGTTCAAAGTAGTCGTGCACTTTTAAAACGGGCCATGCTTCCTCTACCCCAGCAAATAAATTCAGCGATCCTTCTGCCTGGGGAAAATCCACCAGATGAGGCAGAGGCGGCCAACCAGTCCTACATGACCTGTGCAACGAGCACACTTGAAATCTAAACAAGTAATGTCCTCCTGACCCACCGCTGTCCACTCTGCTCTTGGCCCTTCACGCTCCTGTTAGAGACAGGACCCCACTGCCTTGCTGCTTGGCTCCAGTGCAGAGCTAGCTGCCCTGGCACCCCTTAACCCAGTGCCTCAAACCCGCTTTAAGCTGGACTGCTCACCCCCCACCCACGCCCCCCTCCTCGTGCCCAAAGGCGGGGACCCTGCCCTCTGCGCTCCTCTTGCTCTTGGGAATCTCGCCCCTCTGCAGTATGGGAAAGGAAAGGAGGCAGGCAGTGATGAAGACAGGAAGTGGGCTCAGAGGAAGACGTGAGAAGGATCGCTGGGATGAGAAGTGCGCTCCCCCAGCCAGACCTGCGGCAGGAAAGAAACCTGGCAGGCTCAGATTCTGCCTCAGTCCTGCCACTTCAGAGGAACAAGACTTTGGGCAAGGGACTCGATGGCCCTAGGGCCAGTTAACACGATCCGTAACCTCCTCAATCTTCAGGCTTTTTGCTTGGCTGGTTTGGGTGCTGGGGATGAAACTCGAGGTCTGGTGCATGCTAAGTGTAGGCTTCATCTGGTTTTCTTCAAACCCACTGCCTCATCCCACCTCCAACAGAGCATCCCCAAGCCAATGTAAGAGTTCATAAAATCCACGGCTCCTCTCACTCAAGCCAACAGCCTCTAAGAATGGTGGGAGGCGCTGCCCGGTGTTCTAGAGCAGCAGCCCAGCCAGAGATCACCACCGAGAGGGGGGTTCAAAGGCCACTCGTGGCTCAGCACCCACAGAGCTCAAGGAGTTAAAAGTGAGTTGGGTCTGCGTCCAAAGCCCCATTCCTGCGTGAGGTTTATTTAATACGCAGCCTTGGGAAGCTGGTTTTCCCATGCTGCTAATATCAGTATTGTTCTGTGAGCCATGATTACTGTGAGGCATGGAGGACCATTCCAACAGCACTTTGTCCTCCTCGGGCATTAATAAAAACAGGACAGCCTGCTGGGGGGCACTTCACATACAAGAGGAACTAGAGAGCACACCATGGGAAGGTCTAATACGAAAAATTCCCAGCGCTCTCCACGGCTCTCCACGGCTCTCCACGCTGTTCTCCCAGGCCTCGCCAAGCACGGCACACACGTGCTGTGTAGGCCCAGGCCTGAATGGAAAACCCCTCCCTCTCATTCCCTTTTCCAGAGTAAACTGGAGAATGGACTGTGATGTTCTTGAGGGTCGGAACCTTGCTCTCCTCGGTCCCTCGTGCCCATCCCAGGACATCACATGCTCCTATGACCGACGGCCACGGGACCTCTCTCCACCAAGGCCGGGCAGGCTGAGGGGAATCGTAACGGCTGTGGCCAACACTGCTAGGGGCCAGCGCCGCTCTCAAGCTTTCCACCCGCTCCTGTGGAGAATTCAGGAACTCTGAAGTAAGCAGGACAGGGAACTGAGGGCCCACAGCCACAAAGCAAGGGAGGGAACCCATCAGGCTCGTGAGACTCCAGACCCTGAGCTTTCGCCATGGGGCCGCCCTGTGTAAGCTACTTCTGCTACTTCTCCATGCTTAGCTGCTTCAATGAAAATCTCAAGCCAAACAAGA